GAAATAACACTACATCAGGCTGCTTAAATCAGTGATAAAGAGAAATCTTAAAAAGAGCCAGGAGGCCCCAGCCGGTTTGGCTCAGGGGGTAGAGTGTGGGCCTGCGGACTGAAGGGTCTCAGGTTCAATTCTGATTAAGGACACGTACCTCGGTTGCAGGCTCCTCCCCAGTAGGGACCCTGGTGGGGTGCATGCAGGAGGCAACCCATCAATGTGTTTCTCTCACAACGATATTTCTCTCTGTCTTTCCCTCTCTCTTCCACTCTCTCTAAAAATCAATGGAAAATATCCTCAGGTGAGAATTAAAAAAGAAAAAGAAAAAAGAAAGGAGCCAGAAGAAAAAGGCACATATGTATGTAACAACAAAGATAAGAATGACAATGAGCTTTTCTTCCAAAACAATGCAGCAAAATTCTTAAAGTACTGGTGGCTGAGGCTGGGGCTGTCAACCTATATTTCTGTAACGAGCAAAAGTAAAGAGGCACCTGACTTATGATGGTTTGAGTTATGATTTTTCAACTTTGCAATGGTGTGAAAGCAATACACATTCAGTAGAAACCACACTTCAGATTTTGAACTTCGATCTTTTCTGGGCCAGCAGTATGTGGTCGGATCTCTCCCTGGAAGCTGGCAGAGGCAGCGCGCCCAGGCCGCCAGCCACAGGCCCACCAGGGCACCAGCCCATGCTCTACGTGCACTGTGTTGCCAGCAATGTTTAATGTCGGCTAGGCCCGTGGTCGGCAAACTGCGGCTCGAGAGCCACATGCGGCTCTTTGGCCCCTTGAGTGTGGCTCTTCCTAAGCCTTAGGAGTACCCTAATTAAGTTAATAACAATGTGCCTACCTATATAGTTTAAGTTTAAAAAATTTGGCTCTCAAAAGAAATTTCACTCGTTGTACTGCTGATACTTGGCTCTGTTGACTAATAAGTTTGCCGACCACTGGGCTAGGCTAAGCTGTAGAGAGCGCCTGGGAAGGCACATGGGCATTTCTTTAATTATTGTCAGCTGCAGCCAGTGGCGTTGGCAGAGCCACGTCCTGGAAACACACCTTGCCAGAGGCAGGTGTGTTGTCAGCCTGACCTTCAGCTCAGGCGCCAGGGGCTGGGTTTCATTATCTAAATCCAGCCAAGCACCAGGAACAAACACAATGATCCGGGCCCACCCAGAAGTGACCATTACAGAGCAGCCACAAGAATGCACACAATCTCCTTTGTCTTGGGCTTTAGTAAAACTTCCTGGTTTTTGCTGTATAAAATAAAGGCTCTGTATTGGCTCTGGGTCCCTGTCTTTCCATCAGAGGACAGTGGTCCCACCCAGTCCCAGCTTTCCCTACTGTATTGGTGTCTGTCTCTTTCATTTTCTCAATCCCCCCATCACCCCTACTCAAGAACCAGATGGCTCTCTAGCTGCGATGGATGCGGAAAAGAGAGAAATATTTATACTAAGCTATGATATTTGATAAGCTAGGTGTACTATGCATTTTGAGCTTATAATATTTTCAACTTACAATGGGTTTAACAGAACATAACCTCATAGTAAGTGGAGAAGCATCTGTATTTCAAAAATGAAGGTGAAATCTTTGCAGACTTGGTGAAACTGAGAGACCACGTCCAGCAAGCCTGGAGTGTAGGACATACTGGTATTTTTTAAAGTTCTTCAGGCAGAAGAAAATCACACCAGACTGAAATCTGAGACATAGACAATAATCACAATAGTAATCAGATATTCCAACATCCCTCTCAACAACTGAAAGAATGAATAAATAGAAAAGCAGGAAGGACACAGAGGACTTGAACAATAGCCTCAATCAGCTTCACTTACCTGACATTTATAAAAGCTCCAACAACAGCAGAATATACATTTCTTTCAAGTGCCCGTGGAACATTTACCAAGGTAGTCCATATTCTTGGCTGTAAAACAAGTCTCAATAAATTTAAAATAATTTAAATTATACAAAGTATGTTCTCTGGTGATAAAATTACATTAGAAATAAATATTAGAAAGATATCTACAAAATAACCAAATCACTGGAAACTAAATAATGCACTTCTAAACAACCTGAGGCTCAAGAAAAAATAAAAAGGGAGAGTATAAAATATTTTGAACTGAATGGAAAAACTCCCTCAGTGTATACAAATGGGGGGGGTGCACTATTCAGCAGTTCTCACAGAATAATTTATAGTTCTACTCTTATAAGAAAAAGTAGAACAGATTCAAGTGGATGACCTGCTTAAAAAATAGAAATAGAATAAGAGTAAATTAAGCACTCATCATGCAGAAGGGAAACCATAAAAAGAAGAAACTTACAAGGTGTAAAACAATAAAAAAAAATAAAAGAAATTAAAAACTGATTCTCTGAGAATAAAATTGAAAAACTACTGGCCACACTAATGGGGAAAAAAAGTAAAGACACATTACCAATATCAAGAATGAAAGAGGTGATATTCTTATAGATTTGACAAATACTTTGAAATAGAGAATTGTATAAAACACCTACCTACAATAATAAAAGCATAATATGCTAATTAGACCGGACAGCTGAACGACCTTCCGGACATCTTTCCAGATGAAGCCGTGGCAGCGGGGGCCAAGGCAGAGGCTGTTAGGGGTGATCAGGCAGGCAGGCGAGTGGTTTGGGGCAATCAGGCAGGTAGGCAGGCGAGCAGTTAGGAGTCAGCGGTCCCTGATTGCGAGAGGGGTGTCCAACTGCCAGTTTAGGCCCAACCCCACAGGGATCGGACCTAAACTGGCAGTCAGACATCCCCCAAGGTGTTCCAGATTGCAAGAGGGTGCTGGCCGGGCCGAGGGACCCCCCTACACACACCCCCTGTGCACAAATTTTGTGCACCAGGCCTCTAGTCCTGTATAATAAAAGCCTAATATGCTAAGTGTCAGTCGGCCATTCAACCAATCAAAGCATAATATGTTAATATGCTAAGAAGGCCGCTCAACCGCTCACTATGATGTGCACTGGCCACCAGGGGGCAGAAGCTCCAACCAGTAGGTTAGCTTGCTGCTGGGTCTGGCCGATCGAGACTGAGCGATATTGGCCGGACACACCCTGGAGCCCTCCCGCAGTCCCTCCCCGGCTGGCCAACCTCCCACGTCCCTCCCTCGCCCCGATCGTGCACTGGTGGAGTCCCTCGGCCTGGCCTGTGCCCTCTTGCAATCTGGGCTGGGGGACCCCTCCTCTGAAGTGCAGGAATTTCATGCACTGGGCCTCTAGTATCAATATATTTGACAACTTATATGAAATAAAACTACCAAAGATTACTCAAGAAGGAATATATAACTGGAATAGCCCTGTAGGTATTAAAGAAATGGGATTATTAGTTAAAAAGTTTCTCACTGTAAAAACAGCAGGCCCCAATGCCTTCTCAAGCTCTTCCAGACAGACGCAGTGCCTTCCACAAGGCCTTCTTGTCTGACACCAAACCATATGGAAACATTGCAAAAGAAGAAACTATAGATCAGTTTGCAAGAATTTGTATCAAATTTTTAGAGCATTAAATAATATATTAAATAAAGATAATATATCATGACCAAGTAGGATTTCCTCCAAAAATGCAGGGTTGATTAAATGTTCAAAAATCAATCAATGTAATTCCCCATACTAACAGACTAGGAAATAAAAACTATTTGATCATCTCAGTAGATGCAGAAAACTCATATGGAAAATCCATTTCTGAAAATTAAAAATTTTCAGCAAACTAGGAATAAAAGGGGAGTTTCTCAACCTGATAAAGTGCATAGCTGGAGTTTTTTGTTTGTTTGTTTTTAAAGAAACTGCTTAGCTATATTCCAGCATGGTTGTAGAATTTAAAATTCCCTTTAAAATGGAAGAGAGATTGACAGGGAGAAACCAAGATGGCAGCATAGGTAAACACCGGAGATTGCTGCCTCGCACAACCACTTCAAAAATACAACTAAAAGACATAACGGACATCACCCAGAACCACAGGAAGGCTGGCTGAGTGGAATTTCTACAACTAGAAGGAAAGAGAAAAGCATACCGAGACTCAGAGGAGGTGCGGTGCTGAAGGAAAATACAAAGGTGCGGAGGTGCATGCGGAGAGGACTGGCAGCTGAGGACACGATTGTCTTTTTCAATTGGGAGGGAGTCTCAGGCTCTGAGCTCCAGTTCCGGCCAAATCTCTGGGGACCCAGACTCATACGGGAGAAACGGGACTGTCTGGCATCGGTCGGAACTCGAGGGCAACTTTCTCTCAGAGGGACTCTCAGCGATTGCCAGGACCTCTGAAGGCAGGACTGAGAGCAGCCATACTGCTCGCTCCGCCCGCCCTGTTGATCCCCTGGGACCCACCCCACCCAAGCTGTGCATGGAGGCTTTTGCATATAAAAGGCCCGGCCCTTTGTAATCTGAAAATAACTTAACAAACTGCAGCTGCCCCAAGGCCCCAGGGCAACTTGCATTGCTTTACAGCTGGCTTCTGCTGGGTAGCCTTAGGCAAAGGCTAGATTAGCACCTCCTTAGATCCAAGAGCCAGTGTACCCAGTGGTCAGAGTGGGACCATCCAATTACAACT